GTGCGATTCTGGGTTCTATGGCATGATGGGTGCATTTGAAGGGCGTCAAGGCCATGGCATGGCATGGCAAGCATGTCTTGACAGGACGTGGCATGGCATGGGAAACAATTACTGGAAGGGCAGGGCGACAATAACTGGAAGGGGAGTGTAGCAGGGCAGGCAGCAGGGCTCATTCTCATAGCTGCGGATGATTTGAATATGAGTCTTCGAGGAGTCGTGATGAAAACCTTTGGAAAAGGCGTCTTAGATTTGGGTGAGATGATCCAAAGTAAAAGGTTTTAATGTATCTAGTGTATTCATAAGTGGTGCCCATGTCAAAGAGGGGGTGCACTTCATGTAACAGGACACTGAGATCTGGTCAGGATAGAGTAGTGACTTATCGTAACGGGCAAATTATTGCATAAAAATCAACTACAGTGGAACTGTATTTCCCCAAATGGGTACACTATATCAATATTGGCTTGGCTACCACCACATATTTATTCCCAAACTGTAAAAGATCAATCTTCGCTGCCAAGAATTTCTGTACTAACACATGCTTCTTTCATACCACTACCTCAATCTTGCCTGTCAAGGATGATTGCCTTCTATTACGGTAGTATCTCCTGTACATGCCCCTGCCATTACCATCCGTTTCCAAGCATAGCTGTCCACTCTTTAAAAAAAATATGGACTCGTAACAGGTTATTTCCTAACCATAGTGTCAGTGCGCGGCGGGCACAGCATGGCTTTAACTCGCTTCACGGGCGGCAACGTGAACAACTCGTCGCACGCGCCGCTCCCGGCGAGAGTGCCGGCGCAGGAGACGGCGGTGGAGAGGAGGAAGAACGACGCGCAGATAACGTTAAAGATGGACGATCCTCCAACCACCATGGCGAATGACGGAAGAGGAATCGGTGGAGACCGGAGGGATGTCAAATGTCAAGTCTGATGCGAACGATGCGACAGTGGAGTTGTTACACGATTATGTAACAATGGACGCGACGGCAATCTACAAGAGAATCAAGTAGGGGGGTCTTCGAGCGTCAAGGAGAAAGTACACACGCAGAACGGGCTCGCCGTGGAGACGGCCGGCACATGTGACGTCACGACGAATGAAAACGATATGCTGTTATGACGCGGACTGCTAATGAAAGCGACTAGCCGTCCACTGCGGATCGAGCATTATCAGCGAACTGATACAAGGTGAAGTGTGAGGGATGCTGCACCTAACTCCATACCATTTCATAATCCATGGCTACTGCATGAATGGAGCTAGTGTGTGTGTGTGCGTAAAAGGCGGGAGTTTGGGCACTTGTGCGTTGCTGCTGAGTGTCCAACATCTGGTCTGGGTCGGTTGAGGACGGTTCTGAGATCTAAAAAATTCCCCAAATCCCCGCACCCGTAGGACGGTTCTCAAGGTGGATCGTGGTTGAGTATAGTGATTCTAAAAAAAACAGCTGTTTCATTAAACGCGGCCCTTTAAAAGCTGAATATTTACGGCGTCCACAGGGTGCAACATACACACGCCGCGTGTTCCTATCCTAGCCCCTACCGGCACCAACCTCAACGTGCCACCTCAGACAGCGAGGTGGCCTAAATTAGCCAGGTCAGCCTCGACATTTTCGGCAAAACAACCCAATCCAATTCCTGGTTTCCTGTTTTTGCTCTCTGTAAAACTGACCTTGTTTTTCTCCAGCACTCGTCATCATTTTCCTCTACTTGCTTTCTCTCCCTTGAATTCGCATCATCATTTCAGCTTCGATTCCCCTTATGGCGGCGTCGCTTCTTGCTCCCGTCACCTCTCACCTCGTCGTATCCTGTCGCACGCCCTGTCGCACATCCGTCGCAAATGCCGCTGAATGGGGACGGCGAGAGTTGAGCACGCGACGTCGCCTCGTCTTCTGCTCCGCGCAACCGCCAGCAAGCAACGGAGATAACGACAAGGATAAAAACGACAAAAGCCAAGAACAAAAGCTCAACACAGAACCCATCGCACCGCCATCTGCGGCGTCATTTGCGGCGTCTCCTGAGGGGCGCGATGCGATAATGGCGGAGCTGGATCGCGCGTTGAGCGGCGAGGAGTCGAAGGCGCTCTGGGCGGACCTCGAGTCGGCGGCGCTTCGCGTTTCCCGCGCGCGCGCGTCGTACGAGGAGATGGAGGCGAAGGAGAAAGAGCTGCTCGCGCTCAAGGCGGAACTGGAAGCCGCCGCGCTGATGGAGGCGGAACTCGCGCAGGCAGACGCGCAGGTAAGCGGATCCGGCGCAATGGGGGGAATGGGGGAAGGGAGGGGTTGTGCCTGGGGAAATGGGGGGCATCGAATGGGGGGGATCGAATGGGGGGGATCGAATGGGGGGGATCGAATGGGGGGGATCGAATGGGGGATACGAGTGGGGAGGGGCAAAGGTGAAGTGGGAAGGAGTGTAACAAGAAGACAGGGTGGGGGTAATAAGCACCAATATAACGACTCTCCAGATCACATGAACCTGAGTCCGTTGATGTAACGCTGATATAATCACAAACACTATACCAGCACCCCCGTCTGCTCACCCTCTCCTCCACCTCCCGTTTCCCCCGCCGTCCTTCCTCCCACGTTCCCTGAAACATCCTTGTGCAAGCCGCAATTCTTAAAGTGGCAGCAAATGGCAGCAAATGTGTTTCGGGTCGACCAGAACCCTCGTTTGCTCCCTTCCCACTTAAAAAGCCAAAGCAATCTTCATTTTCCTAGATATGGTATGATTTTTTTCGAATTTCCAGCCACGCTTACGCATTCATGCTAGCATAATGCCTTGACACGCCCCCACCCACCCTGTCCCGCTAAGCATCTAGACACGTTTCTCCGTGTCCCATGGTACCCATCAGGCGGAGAAGTTTGAAGCAGAGTCTGTTTTCACGGCCCCTTAAAAACAGGCTCAACATCTCGGCACCTTCCCCCCTCCCTCTCGGCACGTCCCTCCCTGTCCCATTGTGCACTTCAGGTGGAGAAGCTCGAAGCCGAGGTGGCAGCAGCAGAGCAGGCAGCCAGGGCTGCCGGAGCAGCCCTCATTGAGGCTCGGGCAGGCGGCGGCTTCCGAATCAGCAGCGCAGGCTCGGGAGATCAAACAGCAGGGAAATGGGCGGCGAGCACTGGCTCAATTGACGAGGACAAAGAACGAGAGCAATCAGCCAAGGCGGCTACAGTAGCAGCTGTAGCTGGCACTGTAGCAGGCCTGCCGTTCCTGCTGAGTCAGCGAGCACAGGAAGGCGGGACGGGGTTAAGCTTTCTTGTGGCAGCAGCGGCGCTAGCTGCAACGTGTGCTCTGTTCGGTGTAACCTACCGGTACATAGTTCGAAAAGACGTGGGAAACATTCACCTTAAAGCCGGGGCGGTGGGTGCGTTCGGGCTGGCGAGAGGGCTGGCTCAAGTGGACTCCACGTTCGCTCTTGTGAGCGCGGGGTCGGCAAATAATGGTCTCTCGGATGACATCATGGGTAGTATGACGGATGGTCCCTTGGTGCCGGTGGCACTATCGCTGCTGGAGGCAGGGGAGGGGGTGCTGGTGCTGGCCCTCACTGCTACTGCGCTTGAATACTGCCTGCAGACAGGATTCCTGTCCACCTTCCCTGCTGAATCACCATCTTCTGAATCATCGTCTAAATAAGAGGTTTTTGTTGACATTGATTGAATAAACCTGTATAGTTTCGAGGCTTAGATGCGGCACATGTATGGTTGGAGTATGTGCCGGATTGTAATGTTGTGGTGTGTGAGCCTTCCTGGCTTGACCCATGTGAGTTTTTACTCCATGGGGGTGTTCTCTGCTGGCCCTGTGAGCTTTGACCCCTGAGCGTTTGCTTTGCAACCCTGGGTTTCATTCCCTTGTACCGTATATTGAGCTGAGGGTGCAGGATGGGGGATGCCCTATCTGGGATACAGAATAAACTTTTCAATGTGACGGCAAATATAGAATAAACGTGAACTTCGTTTAATGCTACCTAACAGAATACCGTCATTATTCAGTGTAGCAGTTTCTGTAGAGCTACGAAGACATCTGGATACAAGACGCGGTCTTTCGACAATCCCAAGGCCAACCACCCCGCTGGCCTCCGTCATTTCTCCTCGCTCGTTTCTATCTTCTAGTGACCAATGACCGTTCCTCCTGCCATTCCTGCCGTGACCATGACTGCTGCTGGTCAAATGGCTTCGACTATATGACCTTTCTTCCGACATCGGCCTCAAGCGACTCGTAAAGTTTCTCTTTGTTCGGTGGGTTACGTGCTTACATCGCACCGACGCCCTAGGTTGAATCTTCACAGGCTTGTGTGCCTGGTCCGTGCAGTCGCTTCATTCACTTTAACCTCCTAAGCGATTGACGCGCGTCAAATCGAGCGTATCTTACTTATCCTGCCTCATCCGCAATCGCCGAGAGAATCTTGATAAGATTCGCAACTTATAACCACCATTTCGCAACTTATGCTCCTCTGACACCTTAAGCGGTAATCGTCGGCTCGCAATTCCCACTCCGCAGCCTTATGCCTGTGTCGCACTCTCGGCTGGTACTAGGTAATGCAAAGCTCCTCTCATCGAAACCCTAGCGACTTGAGGGAGGAGAGCCCGAAGCGACTGCGTACCGAACCGGCAGAAGCATCATTAGTAGCAGCAGCAGCAGCAGCAGCAGCAGCAGCGTCGTCCGAAACCCTAATCGCCGGCATTCCTGTTTCCCACCCGCCTGCTCATTCTATCTTCGCTAACGAGGTGTCCGATATAAGCATTTCCGATACAGCGAAACATCTGGGTTCGGGAATGTCAACCCCAACCAGGGGCGGTACCCCCGCCCCTGGAACAGAACCCCACCCCACTTCAAATCACCAAAATCTCCATCCTCACGCTCAGCATGCTTCACAGCAGCAACAGCACCGAGGCAGTGCATTGCCGGGCGACAAAGACGAGCTTTCGCGAAACTTCCCCGTCGACGACATTGTGCAGCATCCATTACCCGGTTACGTGTCCCCGTCCGCGATCGCGTTCAGTCCCGACGATCAAATGATCTCGTACCTATTTAGCGAAGAGGGTACCCTCACGAGGAAGCTATTCGCGTACGAGTTAAAGACGGGTCAGCAGAAGCTACTAGTGGCTCCTCCGGGCGGCGGGGTCGACGAGGATAATCTCTCCATGGAGGAGAAATTAAGGCGCGAGAGGCAGCGGGAGCGCGGCTTGGGAATCACGCGCTACGATTGGTCTAAGAACGTGGCGGTTCCGCGGATCATGATACCGCTGCCAGATGGCGTGAGTTCGTTGGCCCGCTGTTACCTGTGCCACCGCTGCAATTTGTCCCGTCGTTCCCCTAACAAGCAGGTTTTTTATTCCCCCGACTGTACATTGAGAAACCTTCTTGCCTTTCCCCCCCTTCCCCCCTTCCCCCGGCCTCTCCCTTCTTACGACCCCATTTCCCCTGCTATGATCTCCCCCTGCTTTTTTCGCTCACCCGCCTCTCCCCCCTCCTCCCCCCCGCCCCCCCGCCCCCCGCCCCCCGCGCTCCGCAGGTGTACGTGCAGGACGGCATGGGCGCGGATCTGCGCCTGCGCATCCCGGGCGGAGCGTCCCCCATCCTGGACCCGCAGATCTCCCCCGACGGCTCCGCCATCGCGTTCGTGCGCGACGACGAGCTTTTCGTCGTCTCCACCACCGCGGGCGCGCCCCGCCAGCTCACCTTCGGCGCAAAGGAAGCCAACAAGGTGCACATTTGTTTCTGGGGACGAGTGCTAGGGTAGAGCATTGGGGTAATAGAGTAGGGTGAGGGCTAGGGGCTCCGCCATCGCGTTCGTGCGCGACGACGAGCTCTTCGTCGTCTCCACCACCGCCGGCGCGCCCCGCCAGCTCACCTTCGGCGCGAAGGAGGCGAACAAGGTGCGGCTGGGTGCTGGCGCTTGAGCGCTAGTGTAGAGTGGTTAGGGGAATACTGGGGTGGTTGAGTGGAGTGAGGACTCAGCACACGGAACGGAAGCACATACGAGCTCTTTGTCGTCTCCACCACGGCCGGCGCGCCCCACCAGCTCACCTTCGGCGCAAAGGAGGCTAACAAAGTAAGGCCGGGTGCTGGGGGGAGAGTGCGTGGGGGGAGATTGGGGTGGTAGAGTGAGGTCTCGAAACAAGGAGGGGGCGACGACGAGCTCTTGGTCGTCTCCACCACGGCTGGCGCGCCCAGGCAGCTCACCTTCGGCGCTATGGAGGCCAACAAGGTGCGGCTTTGTGTTGAGTTTACTCTCAGGGTGGTGGGATAGAGTGAGGACTCGACACAATGACCAGCTGAGCTTGGGGCTTGAAAAGGCTTGTGCACCCTTGTGTGCGTTTGGGATTGAAGGTATAATGGCATGACATGTCAGTATACACTTCAATCCCTCGGTTCTCTACATTTCATGATACAGTTAATGTATCGGTTCTCTACATGTCATTATACCCTTAATGCCTCGGTTCTCTACATGTCATTATACCTTAATACCTCGGTTCTCTACATGTCATTATACCCTTAATACCTCGGTTCTCTACATGTCATTATACCCTTAATACCTCGGTTCTCTACATGTCATTATACCCTTAATACCTCGGTTCTCTACATGTCTTTATACACTTAATACCTCGGTTCTCTACATGTCTTTATACACTTAATACCTCCGTTCTCTACATGTCTTTATACACTTAATACCTCCGTTCTCTAACTCCTGCGTATCTCTCTCTCTCTGTTTCCATGCTTGTGCGTGGACTCATACGTGCGTGTGTTGTGTGCCCCCTCTTGTGTGTGTGTGTGTGTGTGTGTGTGTGTGTGTGTGTGTGTGTGTGTGTGTGTGTGCGTGCGTCCCCATGCGTGCGTCCCCATGCGTGCATGGTGCTGTGGCGATGACAGGTGCATGGCTTGGCAGAGTACATTGCACAGGTAAGCATCCGCTTCGCCATCGCCTATTCACTGTTACCTTTAACCCTTGCCCAACCACACCCTCCTCACCAGTACATCCGTCTTGAAATCACCCTTTTCTATGCTTGTTCATGTATGAAACGCCCGACTCTGGATTCGTCGTTCGTTAGTTCACTCATAGCCAAGCCACCTTGCTTCTTTTAACTTAATGCCCAGCTATTCTGTCTCATCCTGTCTGCTCAAGTGTCAAACAATTCCCACCTTCCGTTTCCCTGTCTCCCATCTCTCCTGCGCCCCTCCTCCCCCGCTCTCCTTGCGAGGGCAGGAGGAGATGGAGAGGCGCAGTGGCTTCTGGTGGGCGCACGACAGCACGCGCATCGCCTTCACGCAGACAGACGCCTCTGCTGTGCCGCTCTTCCGCATCCCCCACTGCACTCGCCCGCCTGTTGGGGCGGACTCCGAGGAGGAGCATGCCTACCCCTTTGCAGGTACTTCATTTCATACTGAGTAGCTCTTTGAAGCGCTATAGAGACAGGCTACGCTCTTCCGCATCCCCCACTGCACTCGCCCGCCTGTTGGGGCGGACTCCGAGGAGGAGCATGCCTACCCCTTTGCAGGTACTTCATTTCATACTGAGTAGCTCTTTGAAGCTTTATAGAGATAGGCTACGCTCTTCCGCATCCCCCACTGCACTCGCCCGCCTGTTGGGGCGGACTCCGAGGAGGAGCATGCCTACCCCTTTGCAGGTACTTCATTTCATACTGAGTAGCTCTTTGAAGCGTTATAGAGATAGGCTACGCTCTTCCGCATCCCCCACTGCACTCGCCCGCCTGTTGGGGCGGACTCCGAGGAGGAGCATGCCTACCCCTTTGCAGGTACTTCATTTCATACTGAGTAGCTCTTTGAAGCGCTATAGAGATAGGCTACGCTCTTCCGCATCCCCCACTCCACTCGCCCGCCTGTTGGGGCGGACTCCGAGGAGGAGCATGCCTACCCCTTTGCAGGTACTTCATTTCATACTGAGTAGCTCTTTGAAGCGCTATAGAGATAGGCTACGCTCTTCCGCATCCCCCACTGCACTCGCCCGCCTGTTGGGGCGGACTCCGAGGAGGAGCATGCCTACCCCTTTGCAGGTACTTCATTTCATACTGAGTAGCTCTTTGAAGCGCTATAGAGATAGGCTACGCTCTTCCGCATCCCCCACTGCACTCGCCCGCCTGTTGGGGCGGACTCCGAGGAGGAGCATGCCTACCCCTTTGCAGGTACTTCATTTCATACTGAGTAGCTCTTTGAAGCGCTATAGAGATAGGCTACGCTCTTCCGCATCCACCACTGCACTCGCCCGCCTGTTGGGGCGGACTCCGAGGAGGAGCATGCCTACCCCTTTGCAGGTACTTCATTTCATACTGAGTAGCTCTTTGAAGCGCTATAGAGATAGGCTACGCTCTTCCGCATCCCCCACTCCACTCGCCCGCCTGTTGGGGCGGACTCCGAGGAGGAGCATGCCTACCCCTTTGCAGGTACTTCATTTCATACTGAGTAGCTCTTTGAAGCGCTATAGAGATAGGCTACGCTCTTCCGCATCCCCCACTGCACTCGCCCGCCTGTTGGGGCGGACTCCGAGGAGGAGCATGCCTACCCCTTTGCAGGTACTTCATTTCATACTGAGTAGCTCTTTGAAGCGCTATAGAGATAGGCTACGCTCTTCCGCATCCCCCACTGCACTCGCCCGCCTGTTGGGGCGGACTCCGAGGAGGAGCATGCCTACCCCTTTGCAGGTACTTCATTTCATACTGAGTAGCTCTTTGAAGCGCTATAGAGATAGGCTACGCTCTTCCGCATCCCCCACTGCACTCGCCCGCCTGTTGGGGCGGACTCCGAGGAGGAGCATGCCTACCCCTTTGCAGGTACTTCATTTCATACTGAGTAGCTCTTTGAAGCGCTATAGAGATAGGCTACGCTCTTCCGCATCCCCCACTGCACTCGCCCGCCTGTTGGGGCGGACTCCGAGGAGGAGCATGCCTACCCCTTTGCAGGTACTTCATTTCATACTGAGTAGCTCTTTGAAGCGCTATAGAGACAGGCTACGCTCTTCCGCATCCCCCACTGCACTCGCCCGCCTGTTGGGGCGGACTCCGAGGAGGAGCATGCCTACCCCTTTGCAGGTACTTCATTTCATACTGAGTAGCTCTTTGAAGCGTTATAGAGATAGGCTACGCTCTTCCGCATCCCCCACTGCACTCGCCCGCCTGTTGGGGCGGACTCCGAGGAGGAGCATGCCTACCCCTTTGCAGGTACTTCATTTCATACTGAGTAGCTCTTTGAAGCGTTATAGAGATAGGCTACGCTCTTCCGCATCCCCCACTGCACTCGCCCGCCTGTTGGGGCGGACTCCGAGGAGGAGCATGCCTACCCCTTTGCAGGTACTTCATTTCATACTGAGTAGCTCTTTGAAGCGCTATAGAGATAGGCTACGCTCTTCCGCATCCCCCACTCCACTCGCCCGCCTGTTGGGGCGGACTCCGAGGAGGAGCATGCCTACCCCTTTGCAGGTACTTCATTTCATACTGAGTAGCTCTTTGAAGCGCTATAGAGATAGGCTACGCTCTTCCGCATCCCCCACTGCACTCGCCCGCCTGTTGGGGCGGACTCCGAGGAGGAGCATGCCTACCCCTTTGCAGGTACTTCATTTCATACTGAGTAGCTCTTTGAAGCGCTATAGAGATAGGCTACGCTCTTCCGCATCCCCCACTGCACTCGCCCGCCTGTTGGGGCGGACTCCGAGGAGGAGCATGCCTACCCCTTTGCAGGTACTTCATTTCATACTGAGTAGCTCTTTGAAGCGCTATAGAGATAGGCTACGCTCTTCCGCATCCACCACTGCACTCGCCCGCCTGTTGGGGCGGACTCCGAGGAGGAGCATGCCTACCCCTTTGCAGGTACTTCATTTCATACTGAGTAGCTCTTTGAAGCGCTATAGAGATAGGCTACGCTCTTCCGCATCCCCCACTCCACTCGCCCGCCTGTTGGGGCGGACTCCGAGGAGGAGCATGCCTACCCCTTTGCAGGTACTTCATTTCATACTGAGTAGCTCTTTGAAGCGCTATAGAGATAGGCTACGCTCTTCCGCATCCCCCACTGCACTCGCCCGCCTGTTGGGGCGGACTCCGAGGAGGAGCATGCCTACCCCTTTGCAGGTACTTCATTTCATACTGAGTAGCTCTTTGAAGCGCTATAGAGATAGGCTACGCTCTTCCGCATCCCCCACTGCACTCGCCCGCCTGTTGGGGCGGACTCCGAGGAGGAGCATGCCTACCCCTTTGCAGGTACTTCATTTCATACTGAGTAGCTCTTTGAAGCGCTATAGAGATAGGCTACGCTCTTCCGCATCCCCCACTGCACTCGCCCGCCTGTTGGGGCGGACTCCGAGGAGGAGCATGCCTACCCCTTTGCAGGTACTTCATTTCATACTGAGTAGCTCTTTGAAGCGCTATAGAGATAGGCTACGCTCTTCCGCATCCCCCACTGCACTCGCCCGCCTGTTGGGGCGGACTCCGAGGAGGAGCATGCCTACCCCTTTGCAGGTACTTCATTTCATACTGAGTAGCTCTTTGAAGCGCTATAGAGATAGGCTACGCTCTTCCGCATCCCCCACTGCACTCGCCCGCCTGTTGGGGCGGACTCCGAGGAGGAGCATGCCTACCCCTTTGCAGGTACTTCATTTCATACTGAGTAGCTCTTTGAAGCGCTATAGAGATAGGCTACGCTCTTCCGCATCCCCCACTGCACTCGCCCGCCTGTTGGGGCGGACTCCGAGGAGGAGCATGCCTACCCCTTTGCAGGTACTTCATTTCATACTGAGTAGCTCTTTGAAGCGCTATAGAGATAGGCTACGCTCTTCCGCATCCCCCACTGCACTCGCCCGCCTGTTGGGGCGGACTCCGAGGAGGAGCATGCCTACCCCTTTGCAGGTACTTCATTTCATACTGAGTAGCTCTTTGAAGCGCTATAGAGATAGGCTACGCTCTTCCGCATCCACCACTGCACTCGCCCGCCTGTTGGGGCGGACTCCGAGGAGGAGCATGCCTACCCCTTTGCAGGTACTTCATTTCATACTGAGTAGCTCTTTGAAGCGCTATAGAGATAGGCTACGCTCTTCCGCATCCCCCACTGCACTCGCCCGCCTGTTGGGGCGGACTCCGAGGAGGAGCATGCCTACCCCTTTGCAGGTACTTCATTTCATACTGAGTAGCTCTTTGAAGCGCTATAGAGATAGGCTACGCTCTTCCGCATCCCCCACTGCACTCGCCCGCCTGTTGGGGCGGACTCCGAGGAGGAGCATGCCTACCCCTTTGCAGGTACTTCATTTCATACTGAGTAGCTCTTTGAAGCGCTATAGAGATAGGCTACGCTCTTCCGCATCCCCCACTGCACTCGCCCGCCTGTTGGGGCGGACTCCGAGGAGGAGCATGCCTACCCCTTTGCAGGTACTTCATTTCATACTGAGTAGCTCTTTGAAGCGCTATAGAGATAGGCTACGCTCTTCCGCATCCCCCACTGCACTCGCCCGCCTGTTGGGGCGGACTCCGAGGAGGAGCATGCCTACCCCTTTGCAGGTACTTCATTTCATACTGAGTAGCTCTTTGAAGCGCTATAGAGATAGGCTACGCTCTTCCGCATCCCCCACTGCACTCGCCCGCCTGTTGGGGCGGACTCCGAGGAGGAGCATGCCTACCCCTTTGCAGGTACTTCATTTCATACTGAGTAGCTCTTTGAAGCGCTATAGAGATAGGCTACGCTCTTCCGCATCCCCCACTGCACTCGCCCGCCTGTTGGGGCGGACTCCGAGGAGGAGCATGCCTACCCCTTTGCAGGTACTTCATTTCATACTGAGTAGCTCTTTGAAGCGCTATAGAGATAGGCTACGCTCTTCCGCATCCACCACTGCACTCGCCCGCCTGTTGGGGCGGACTCCGAGGAGGAGCATGCCTACCCCTTTGCAGGTACTTCATTTCATACTGAGTAGCTCTTTGAAGCGCTATAGAGATAGGCTACGCTCTTCCGCATCCCCCACTGCACTCGCCCGCCTGTTGGGGCGGACTCCGAGGAGGAGCATGCCTACCCCTTTGCAGGTACTTCATTTCATACTGAGTAGCTCTTTGAAGCGCTATAGAGATAGGCTACGCTCTTCCGCATCCCCCACTGCACTCGCCCGCCTGTTGGGGCGGACTCCGAGGAGGAGCATGCCTACCCCTTTGCAGGTACTTCATTTCATACTGAGTAGCTCTTTGAAGCGCTATAGAGATAGGCTACGCTCTTCCGCATCCCCCACTGCACTCGCCCGCCTGTTGGGGCGGACTCCGAGGAGGAGCATGCCTACCCCTTTGCAGGTACTTCATTTCATACTGAGTAGCTCTTTGAAGCGCTATAGAGATAGGCTACGCTCTTCCGCATCCCCCACTGCACTCGCCCGCCTGTTGGGGCGGAC